TAAATTTACATTTATCTGAACTTAAATTATATGTTAATGGCATATTTAAATTATCCCAAGTTATTTAAAATCATGATTAAAATTTTATATTCTTGGATAAGATAATAGCTTATTATGTGAACCGAACATAAAATAAAAGTCTCGATATCCAGTCCATCTGGTAGACTATGCTCGTTATTCCATTATTGACAAATTCTTATACTGTACTGTATTACTGTACGATTACGTACTGTACATTAAAGAAAATCTTTCCTTACTGAATTGTGATCATAAAACAATATTTATGATCTACCGCTCGAATTCGGAACTGATAAATGACAACTTTGACAACTTTAGAAATTGAACTCTACAATTCGCAAACTCAAAGATGGCCTTCCTCCGGAAAGCACATCTTGGCCCAATTTAATGATAACTCGATTGTGATTTATCAAGCTTTTAACAATTCCATTGCAGATTACGCCGTCAAGAATCAAAAATTTGGCGGGGATGATTATTCTTGGTAGGTATGCATTTTATTCTAGATACGGAAGTAAGAATTCATACTGACATTTATGTTTCTTCAATGCAAATATTTAATTCTCAAATTAACCGTTTGAAGGAAGGTGAACGATATTCCTTTTTTAAAAAATCATTTGTTTTTTAATACCTTTTCCTAATTAGTAAAAGATTTGATTCTTCACAATAGCGAATGACATGGATAAAACCAAATTTTGCCTGGATGATGTACAGGTCTGGATGGGCCACAAAGAAAAATCAAGAAAGGGTAATTAAATATTTATACTTTGCTTCTTATGTGCACACTTATTTGATTCTTTTCATTCCTAGATTTTAGCCATAAGACTGTCCCTCCAAGGTTTTCTCACTATCCTTTCTGAATGCGTTCCTTCCACGTTTAAAGCTTCTTCATATACCGATGAGAAATCCTGGAAAGACGCACTAAAAGACTCTAATATTAGGCTTCAATGGGATCCCGATCATAATCTTAGTGGAGGAAGACTTCCCCGTAGAGCCATCCAACTTGGTATAAGTGGCGAAGATTTGGTGAGGAGATATTCAAACGAGTGGATTTTGAGTATTGAGGATATTACTGAATTTGTTAAAGAACAGTATGATTTTGTGAAAGAGGGAAAATTTGAAATGGTGTGGACGCCAAAGGAACGAATATTTGAAATTACGGATGAAAGAATTAGAAATAATTTGGGAATGGACTTGAGTGATGCTTAAGAAAGGAATACAATCAATCTCATGATAATAAGTGAAAGAATAAATTAAATATCCTATAAATTTTATTAATTAATTAAAATAAATATATTTGTGTGTATACTGTATATTTAAATATATTCAAATATTATTAACTTATAAATGAAATAAAACAGCAATTTAAAATTATATTAATTATAAAAAAAAAAAACAATAATCCATTATCAAGATTATTGTTATATACAGTATACTGTAAATTAATTTGATATAGATTTATAACTTTAAAATTTCTTTTTTTTTATGATTTTTTAATTAATAGAAAAAATGATTTTTAACTTAATAAAAGTAAATGATTTCTTTATATTAAAAGTAAAAAAATATTATAAAAATTAAATTATAAAAAAATTATTGATTAATTAATCATTTTTTAAAAATATATATTTCTTATTGATATATTCTTTTCGAAATTAAAATAAAAACTAAATTAGTTTGATAATAAAAAAAATTATAACAAATTCTATTAAAGTTTTATTAATATATATTTAATTAATTTT